CCCCTCACGCTGTCCCTGTCAGAGACTCTCCCCGCTCTCTCCCCCGTCCCCGACCCTCGCTCCCTGCCCGCTCTCTCCCCTCACGCTGTCCCTCTCAGAGACTCTCCCGGCTCTCTCCCCCGTCCCCGACCCTCGCTCCCTGCCCGCTCTCTCCCCTCACGCTGTCCCTCTCAGAGACTCTCCCGGCTCTCTCCCCCGTCCCCGTCCCTCGTTCCCTGCTCGCTCTCTCCCCTCACGCCGTTCCTGTCAGACTCTCCCCGCTCTCTCCCCCGTCCCTCGCTCCCTGCCCGCTCTCTCCCCTCACGCTGTCCCTCTCAGAGACTCTCCCGGCTCTCTCCCCCGTCCCCGTCCCTCGTTCCCTGCTCGCTCTCTCCCCTCACGCCGTTCCTGTCAGACTCTCCCCGCTCTCTCCCCCGTCCCCGACCCTCGCCCCCTGCCCGCTCTCCCCGCTCTCCCCGCCCCGTGTGGCCGCAGCCCGGGCCGCCCCTCCCCGGAAGCGCCGCGCGGCCCCAGTGACCGCAGGTAAACAGCCAAGATGGCGGCGGCGCAGGGCGCGGGCCCGGCGGGGCCCGGCGGCGGCGGGACGGGCCTCACGGACCTGCCGGGCGAGCTGCTGGAGCTCATCCTCTGCTGCGACGTGCTGGGCGCCGCCGACATCGGCCGCGTGTCCTGCACCTGCCGCCGGCTGCGCGAGGCGTGCCAGCCCCGCGGGAAGGTGTGGCGGGAGCGCTTCCGCCTCAGGTGCGCACCGCGGGCACGGCCCGGCCCGCCCGGGGCTGCGCTGGGCAGGGCAGGGCAGAGGGGGGGACCCGCCGGGGGCTCGGGGGAGCCGCGGGTGGTGCCCGCGGCCTCCCGGGCCTGGGAAGGCCGGCGGTGATCGGGGCGGGGGGTGTGGAAGTGCAGCCCCAGCTCCCCATTCCCGTGTCGCTTCCCGGCTCCGGCGGGTGCGCGGGGAGCCCCTCGCGGGCCGGACGAGCCCCGCGGCGTTCGGGCTGAAATCGTGGAGCGCTTTGGGTGGGAAGGGGCCGTAAAGATCATCCAGTTCCATCCCCCTCTGCCGTGGGCAGGGACACCTTCCGCTAGGCCAGGCTGCTCCAAGCTTATCCCACCTGGAATGCTTCCAGGGATGAGGCAGCCACAGCTGTCCTTCCGCACTTCTAAAAGGGCTTTACAAGGCTGCCTCCCCTCCGAAATCCCACGGGGTGGGACCGGGCTGTGCCTGCTGCTTGCAGGAGGTCTGTCCTGGCAGCTCTTCGCTAGAGATCAGTCCTGCAGCCCCTTCCACCCCCGGGATCCTGCACTCCCCAGATCCAGCCGGGATCTGCCAGTGACACAGATCAGATCCACGTGCTCTGGAGTTGTGGCTTGGCCTCCCTGACCCCGACAGCACCTTCCAGAACATCTTCCAACACCTGCCCCGTCACGGGACTAATCCTTTACAGCAGAAGGGTGTTTGTTTGTGGTGCTTTGAGAAGAACTGTTTCCACGGGTACCAAAATCCTTTGGGGTGGACTTTTGCTGCTGCCGAGTTTCGTCTCGCCCAGGGGCACTCACAGGGTGTCTGGTGGGGGCAAAGCTGTGTTGTAATCCCTGAAGCTGTTCACATTTTGGCTGGGAATGAAGCAGGGGGGTGACATTGCTGATGCTGTGCTGCTTTCAGGACTCCTGGAGGCACCACCGCTCATCGCTGTGGCCTCCAGCCTCTCTAGGATAGAACTTTCTCATCTGTTACCTGCTTTTTTTGGTCTGTTCTGGCACGGGAAAAGTAGGCAAATTGCTTTCTCTGATTGCCACTTGGCTTCTGAAATGTTGCATGGCCCAAATGAGAGGATTATTCTCTTTTCACGGGTGAAAAAGGCCTATTGAACAATTACAGCTTCCTCAGATCACCAGAGCGTGGCTTGGGATTGACTTTCCCCGATTCAGTGGCTGTGTTTTCTGGGAGTTCAGCGCTGGTTGGGATCCAGCAGCTGGAATGGGATGTGGAGGGTGATTAGCACACTCTGCTCTCCTCCTCTCTCCTTGGTAATGGGACTTTTGGCAGGAGGCTGCACGTTGACCTTGTTGTCCTGGCCGGATTCCAGCGCGAGCAATTGCACTTCATCTTCCTAAAATTCCCAATATCATTTCAACCCAAGAAATTACCCTTTCTCATCCCAAAATAAAGGATTGTGATGGTTATTGTGGGGTGGCTGCGTTTCAGCAGCAAAGGAGAGGCCAGGGATTTGGGTTGTTATATAATTTGAGGTTATTTGACTTTATTTTTTAAAGGCAATTGCAGGACAGTTTAATTATTAACTGGCAGTGAAATATCTTCCATGTGTGGTCAAGCCCACCTGTGCATTTTGGTCACTGGTAATAATTTTTATACAGGAGTAGTGATTTAAATATTTGACCTTCTCTCTATTTATCCAAGTAAATATATATGTAATCTGGAAAGAACCTCAGGTAATTTAGTGATAGTGATTTAAACAACTCTATTTATTAAAATAAATAAATAAATAAATATAGATAGCTAGAACCTGAAAAAAAAAAATCGAGGCAGTCCCTGTGACTGAAGGAAAATGTTTTATATAAACCAGTAATAATTAACAGAATTTCTAAACATGAAATAAAAGTCCCAGTGAATTGCAGGAGACCTTCCTCTGAGCTTTATTTCCAAAATATTTTCGTCTGTGCTGATTCTTCCTCATATTTCTCACACAAGTGGTCTTGGAGTCTTCACAGCAGCCTTGGGAATTGCTGTGCTGGCACATATTTTATGGCACACCCACTTTTGTTAGAAAAGGTGCTGCTGACTGCCCCCAAAACACGACCTGAAGTCAGACTTTGAGCTGAACCTTGAAATTCTTAATAAAGTGTCTTAGTTTTTGGACTTTTAGACTCAGTAAAGCGGGTTGGGGAGGTTTTTTTACAAGAAAGCTGCGAGGTTTTTTTAAAAATAATTATTTATTGTGCCAAAAACGAACTGGGAAAGCATTCTGCTGTCGGGGTTGGACTGCAGGGTTCTGTTTTCCTCCAGTAGATGTTGCCACCAGCAAGGGCAGTGGAGGGAGCTCTGTTTTGTGCAGCCTTTTAATTAGACCCCGAGGTGGTAGCAGGAACACAGGACAGTGTTTGGTGCCAAGTTGGCTGACATGGGACACTTCTTTGTGCTGAACTCTTTTAATTACCCAGCTGAAGCATTCAGGATATTTAGATGCTGAAAGCCTGGCGTGTGAGCCTCTGAAGGTTTTCTCTTGGCAGGCTCTAGGAAATCTGACTTTTAAATAACCACGAGGCTGCAGTCGGTGGGTTTGTGCTTCCATGTTGGGGTCGGTTTTACACAGTTACCTTTAAAGCTGGGCGGTGCCTCAGCTCCTCGGTGGTTACAATAAAGCAGCATTTTGCAGCTCTGGGGGCTCTCAGGGCTGTGAGATCCTAATGCTCCTGTTCCTTTGTGTCTCCTGGGGTAGGTGGCCATCCCTGCTGAAGTACTACAGCCACACGGACGGGGTGAGCTGGCTGGAGGAGTACAAGGCGCGGCACAACGCGGGGCTGGAGGCCCAGAGAATTGTGGCTTCGTTCTCCAAGAGGTTCTTCTCAGAACACGTGAGTCCTCCGTGTGTCTGTGCAACAGCCTGGCCACTTGTGTGGTAGAATCATTATTAGAGTCGTTAATGGAATCATTAAGGTTGGAAAAGCCCTCTAAGATCGTCGAGTCTGACCGCTAATCCAGTACTGCCACGTCCCCCACTGAACCACGTCCCCAAGTGCCACATCTGCAGATTTTGTGGACGTTTCCAAGGACAGTGATTCCACCACATCCCTGAGCAGCTTGTTCCAGTGCTTGGCAACCCTTTCAGTGAGGAAATTTTCCCCAATACCCAACCTAAACCTCCCCTGGTGCAGCTTGAGGCTGTTTCCTCAAGAGCGGCTGAGCTTTCGTGTCAGGAGGTTGTGTTCTTAAAAAGTTCTTAGGCCATTCAAAAGGTATTTATTTCTCAGGTGGTTTTGCCTTTTAAAAATTATTGTTATTATTATTATTAGGAAAAGGGGCACTGACCAGGCTCCCCAGGGCAGTGGGCACAGCCCCAAGGCTGCCAGAGCTCCAGGAGGGTTTGGACAAAGCTCTCAGGGACAGGGTGGGACTGTTGGGATGTCTGTGCAGGGCCAGGAGTTGGACTGGATGATCCTTGTGGATCCCTTCCAACTCAGGATTATTCAAAGATTGCACTTCCTTGTTTTTAATCCATACTTTTTCTCAGTTTATCTTGTCTCTCTCTTCACATCATCTTAACTGTGCAGTCAGATAACTTCATATTTCCTCACTTTGTCTGCAAATGCTAATCCACAGCCAACAGGGGAGAGAGGTCAAAATCCAAAGGTCCAACACACGTTCTCTGATTGCATTTTCAGCTTTAAAAACTCTCTGCTCACGTCTGTGTGTTCAGACCCAGCTCTGGGAACTTCTGAAGGCCGGGGTGGTTTGTTGACAGGCAGCACAGCCCCTGAATTCCTCACTGCAGACCTTGAGCTGGGTTCTGTGTTCTGGGAGCTGGCACAAGGCATTTGGAAGCAGGGGCAAGGCACAACAGGGTCACTGAGTTGGAAAGGGTGTTATTGAGGTTCTTCACCCAGCCATGACACCGAGATGCTTTTGTGTTCAGTGGGAAAAAGGTGGAAATGTGGTGTCTCGGGGAGACTGACTCGCACGTGGAGCAGCAGATGTTTCATTGTCTGTTTGCTTAGTTGGTGGCTGTGGATTTTGGGCAAGTTGTACAGCTGGGTCAGCCTGAAATTCTGTGAAATAAGCATAAATGCTGCCTGGAAATGTGGCTGAATTTAAAAGTTCACACCAGAGCCACTAAGCAGCCACCCCTCTGTATCTCCTGTGCAAAAATATCGTGGTCCAGTAGAAAATTCCCGTCAGATACAGGAGACCTGTGTTGGAATTCTCTCCCCTGACTTTCAGCAAGGGTTGGCAGGTAGTGTCTCTCCTGGAGAAGGTGGCTGTGGGGCCAGTGGGGTATTTGGTGTCTCTTGGCTGTTCTCTCCCACTGTAGCTGCAGCAGACACACATCTGTCCGTGGAGAATTGTCAGAGCATTAACTGGGAAAAGCAGCTCCTGGATTGCTGTTCTTTTAATCACGTATGCAGAGACTTCTGAGAGACCATTAAGCAATACCCAAAGGCCTGATAATGAGAATCATCTCCTGTGGGGCAAGAAACTGCAGCTTGATTCCCTGCCTAGAACTGAGAGGAAGAGAGACTTTCAGCCCGTGTCTTATACCGAGAAACGAATTTTTTTATAGTTCAACCAGAAACTTTAAAAATAATTCTGAATTCTGGAAGAAAATAGCTGTTCTTAATATAGATGCATAAGTGCTTGATTCAAAAAATAAAGGCTCCTGCCTCTTCATTCCTTCCCCCAGGATTAATCTTAGGCACTGAGGTTCAACCAACCACAGGCAAAAGTTGATTCCACCTTAAAATTACTGCATGAGATGAGATGAGATGTGCTTGTGCTGGTCCTTAACCCCCCCTAGGAACCCTAAATGCTGTAGAATTTGGCTCAAATTGCTGTAGGATGTTACCAGGGCTCTCAGTGGATCCTTGTAATAAATCCATGGAGTACAGACTGTGAGTATTTGGTGAGCTGGACATTTTTAAGGTCTTGCCTGGATTTGAAAAAAACAGGCCAAAATTGGGGTTGAGACTTTTTTCTGCAGTTCTGTCCTGCTGGGAGGAATCTGTTGTGCTCTGCTTAACCCCCTGTGTGGTCCCACAGGTCCCCTGTGATGGATTCAGTGACATTGAGACTCTGGGGTGCCCCAGTCACTTCTTTGAGGATGAGCTGATGTGCATCCTGAACATGGAAGGAAGGTAAGAGAGAGAGAGAGGGCTGAGAAATGCCAGGGATTTGCCCTCTTTCACCAGTTAAAGGAGAGCAGTGCTGTGGGGAAAGCCTGACCTCAGCTCCTGTCCTTGTGCCCCTCGTTAAACAACACCCCCAGGCCCACCAAGGCTGGCACATATTCCTGTGGGTTTAATTGCAGAACAAACTGAATATTTCCAGAAGGAACCACGTGAACTGTCCCACAAAAAGGAGTCCCCTGGCTTGGTGTTGCTTATTTCCTTGCCAATTCATGCCATCTCTTGGGACCCCCTTCTCTGCAGCAACTTCCCATCCTCATGTTCCTTTGTTTTATTTAAGCCTGGATCAGTTTGCTGAACTGCTTTGCAGGATCATTCCCCCCAGAGGGAAGCAGGAATACTTGAGGATTGCCACCTTGAAGCCATGTAGCATGAAATTACAGCTTTTTGGTTTTTTTTTTCCTCTTGTTTCCTCTTTTCTTACCCGTAGTAGGTCGGTACAATTTTTTATTCCCAAATAAGAGTTTAATTCAGAGTTTAAATCTGAGTTTAATTCAGCCACTGCAGACGTTACAGTCCTGTAAGTTATTCAGACAAATGAAATGGCAAGTGGGTAAATAAAACTTCTGGTTTGCATCTGCCTGGGTTTTCTCATCACCACGGTGAACACTGGGCAGGATGAGTAAGTCACTGCTTTCCTTGGAGGTTTTTCTGCTGGTTATGGTGGGATCAAAAGCAATGATAGATTGCTCTTAATGGGGTCTAAAAGCCTTAATTAGAGGGACTGTCAGTAGAGCTTGAAAAAACCTCACTGGAATGGCAATCAGCTCATTTTTGCCTTTTCACAGCCATTTTATTACCTTTGCCATTTGAACTGGGACTGAGCATCCCTCACTTGACGACTGGTTGAAAAGCTTCTGAGCCCTTTTCGCTGGCCAAATGCCTCCCCATAAAGCAGAATTGCTGCTAATTACCCCCTGATTAAGCTGTACTCGTTGCCATTCAGCAGCATTAGGCTAAATCATTGCCCTGGAAGCCATCCCAATGAAGCAGTTGTCCCTATTGAGGATCCCAGTTTATGGGAAGAGGATAAAACGTGATGGGGTTGGATTGTCCTCCTGTCCAGGAGGATGGAGAAGCCTGACTGGACCTGCAGTCTGGAAAACAGGAAGTGTAAGCAGGGAAAGAGGGGGTTTTTTTCTGAAGAAGGAACCTGGGCTTGTTTTAAACACATGGCAAGGGAAGGAGGAGGATTTTCCCTTTGGATGTTTCTGAGGCCAGGGCTTGTTCAGATGCCCGTGGTGTGAACACCTCTGGGTTTGTCCTGTTGCAGGTGACCTCCTCCAACCTTCCCTGGACAGTAACCAGCTCTCCAGTGCTGCTTCTCTGCCTCCACCTGTTAATTTAGAAAGTGATGGGCCTTTACTGTAAAAAGCTTTAGAATTGTATCATCTACAGCCAACTGTTGATCCATTCCTGCCTTTTCAGAGCAACAGAGTTGGTTTTCCTCGGGGGAATTGTGGGTTTTTCCTCAATACTGTTGGACTCACATTCATATCCCTCATCAGTTCATTTTTAATGCTGAGGGGGTGCTTTCAGATTGACTCTGGAGGGATCCACTCAGACAGAGGGGAATGTTTTATGAATAAAATATAGGATTTTGATCAGATATTCCTGAGCTACTTTAATTAGGATCTGTGTTGTTTCCCATGATGATGCACCTACTCAAAGTTACGTATTGGTGGTGGGATGAAAATCAGGGATGGTGGGAACAATGTTTTGAAAGTGTCTTACCTTGTGGGGGTTTTGATGATAAATTTCCTCTTAACCTTTCCCTTTCTGGCCGACTTTTCAGCGACAGCGTTGTCCAACTCGTTAAACAAAGCAATAATCTAAATTATAAACTCCTATTCACCAGAGAAGTTCAATCAAATGTTCACCCTTAAAATACCTGTTTAGGGCAATGCCGCTTCTTGTATTTAAATGTGCAGGAAAGGCCTCACCTGGAAGTATTATGCAAAGAAAATTCTCTATTTCCTGCGGCAACAGAACATATTAAAAAACCTGAAGGAGTATCTGCAGCGCCCGACTGAGCGACAGTCGTTCCTGGAGGGTAAGTCTTGGGCAGAAATCCCGTGGTTTGCACCTCCTGACAGCTTTCCCACCGTTGTTTTGCTTGGAAGGAACCTTCCTTGCTTAATATTTCAGCTGGCCTCGGGGCTGTCCCTCGAGAACTGGGCTCTGGAAACCGTGCAGGGCAGGGATGGGGAGTGGCTGGAAGTCCAGGCACAGGGTGGGACAGTAACCTGTGCACCTGATAAGAAGAAAGAAAAGGTTTTTCTTCTATTCATGTCTTCACTCTGGTGGATTATTCTCCTTCCCAAGCTTCCTGGGGAGAAGACAGTCTTCTGAATGCACCCAAAGCTGCCAGTGGCTGTAGAAGAGTCCCTTACTCTTCGTGTACACTCCAAAATGCCCTGTGAAAGAGCCTCTAACACCACAGGTGGTTCTTGGTGGTGGCAGTAGACTTTGGCTTTCCCTTCTTGTCCTTCTCCACAGTGGCTTTTTTTGGACAGCTGTTTATGTGACTTAATCATGTGGGTCACAAATAGGTGCACAAATAGTCTGCCATGAAGGGCACGTTATTAGAGCCATATTAGAGCACAGAAAGTCTTGTGAAGTTCCACCTGGCCAGCACAGGGGACACTTGAAGGGGACTAAAAGAAGCCATGGCTTGGGGCCCTGCTGAATTCCTGGAATTCCCTGCCATGGATGTGCTAACAGAGCTATGTAGGAAGCTGGGAGAGGTATGGTCCATGCAGAATTCCTGCAGGTGTCTGCAGTTGATTCCAAACATTGGGCAGTGTGAGGCTTTGGAAAGAGCAGTGATGACAAGAATATCCTTTGAGAGGGATAGTTTTTTTCCTGCAGAGGTTTGACAGAAGAGGTTTGGGCAGAAGGAAAATGGAAGTTTGTTCTGTTCCAGCGGGGTTTTGGATAAGAAGATGGAGGGCAGGTGTGGAAGGGAAAGATGAATGTAGCAGAAGAGAACAAGAATGATAGCTGTGGAAGATGCTGCAGAAAGAAATCAGAGCTGAGGCACAAGTGAAGTTGGGATTGTTTCAGGCTCTGAATAAAAAGCAGTGTGAGTTGGGAAGGTGCCAGGGGATGCGGTGTGACCGCAGAGCTGGCTGGTTAAGCCTGGCCTAGCAGCATACCTGCTCAGTGTACAGATCCACTGCTTTCCCCTTCAGGGTGGTGGAGGGGGGAATACTGAATTTACCTGGTTATTTATCGTGTCAGCTTGTTCCTTGCACTTTCTGTGATAAAATCCAACATTTGGCTGCACGTTACAGACCGACAGCTCCGGTGCTCTGCTGCAGTCCCTCGCTGCACGCCTGGAATGCAGAGCAGGCAAAACTAAGCAAAGAAAAAAAACCTGAAGTCCCGTTTCTTATGTAGTTTGTCTCTTGCAGGTGCTGTTTTAATTGATCAGTACTGTAACCCCCTGTCAGACATCTGCTTAAAGAGTGTCCAGGCGCAGGTGGACGATATCGCGGACAAGGTGCGCAAAGTCCTGCGGGCCAAAAACCCCCGGCACCCCAGCTTGGCTTCCAAGGCAGGTACTGTATGGAAAATAAAGCCTTCCTGCAGCTCTGGGTGCAGGCAGACAAGGGGAAACAGCTGTTGAGTTGTGGCAGCTTGAGGAGTTGTTGTTCTTTATCCCCTGGCAAACACGTTCTGACGTTTGCTTAAACCATCACTCGGGAGGGAGCTGTTTGTTCAGCCCCAGAGCCCTCCCAGCCCGGGGTTCATCCATCTGATGCTGTCTGAGCAAACAGAACTGGGAGGGGAATTCATTCTTTTTCCCATTTATCCCTGAAGTCTTAATAGTCCTGATATGTGTAGCAGAGCTGTGGGTAGGGAAACAGCCTCTTCTCTGCGAGTCCCAGAAAAAAGGTGCATGTTTTGACACCTCCAAAGGTCAGTGTTTTCTCTGACGTGGTTGGAGAATTATCTTAAGCTGGAATAGCTGTTACTAAAGTGCATCAGTCTAATACCTAAAACCACTTGATTGAATTTGTGGTGCAGTTAGCAATTGCTTGGTTTTATTCTGGTCTTTGAGTGTGGCAGTGGTAGGAGCCATTATCGCTCCTCAGCTTACTTTGGTTTCTTTTTAGGGGTAAGGGTATCACTGTAAATCATTTATAAGATGCAGTTAATAACAGACCCTCTAGCAGTGCTTCCTTCTGCAGTAATGACACGTTCTAAACACTAATAATACAGCAACCCTTGATTATGTGGGGCTTTTAGGCAGAAAAACGGGCTCCTCAGAAAAAAAGGTGCTTTTTATAAACACTCTGTGATGTTTTTCTGGCTTTCAAGGGCAGAGTGAGTCCACCTGAAGCTTTCTGGTGTGAAGATCACTGCACAGAGGTGAAGTGCACTTGTTTTCTCAGTCTTTGTCTCCTTGCACATGTTTTCAGGAGAGGTCTGTGTTCCAGAAGTGGAGCTCCAGCGGCAGGTTCTCGATGCCATGAACTGTGTCCTGTACGAGCAGTTAAAATACAAAGGAAACGAGCTGGATTACTACAACTCCCTGAATTCATACATTCACCAGGTACGTTTTTGGCACAAAAACACGAGGCTGCAAGGCCTGAGACGTTCTATTTGTGATGGGTTTTTGTCCAGGTGTAGCCAGACAAATAATTCTCTGTGAAGAACAACTTGCTGTAAAATACAATATAATATTTTAAGGCATATTCTCTGGAGTTGTGGTGTTTTCATTTGTGAAATCAAAGCTCAGGGGTTTGTGTTTTTTCTCAATACCCCACGTGTTTTTCTCACCTTTGTCTCCCCCAGGTTTTGATCCGCAGGACAGGAATTCCCATCAGTTTGTCTGTGCTTTATTTAACAATTGCCAGGCAACTGGGAGTCAAACTGGAACCAGTCAACTTCCCCAGCCATTTTCTCCTGAGGTGGTGTCAAGGAAAAGAAGGGTGAGTGGCCTGCTGAATTTTGAAGCCAAGAAAGCATTTACAGCTCCAGACCTATATGAAAATGTGTCATTATTTTCCACCTGGAATTATAACCTATACAGAGGAAAAAGAGCAGACCTCTAGAAAAGTTTCCCCACAAAAATCAGCTCTGCTGCTGCTGAGTGGGAACAGATTTCCTGAAGTAACAGTGACCACGGGGTGTTGTTTCCCTTATGAAAATTAGAAAAGGGAGGGAAGGTACCAGGTAATCTCTGTTTAGGGGGGAGCTGAGGAGTAAATGACGCTTGTTTTACAAAAGTGCTGAGGGAAGAAGGGAAATGGCTGATCCTGCTTTACCAGCAGACCCTTCCTCACCGTTTGGTTTCCTCGTGGTTGCTCAGGAGCACAGATATTTTTGACTACACCTACATTGATGCCTTCGGGAAGGGGAAGCAGCTGACGGTGAAGGAGTGCGAGTACCTGATCGGGCACCACGTCACAGAGGAGTTCTATGGAGTGGTGACTTCCAAAGAGGTCCTGCAGCGCATGGTGGGCAACCTCCTGAACCTTGGCAAGCGGTGAGTTGAGATCTTCTCACCTCTGAGGGCCCCCAGAGTATCCTGGCATCATATCCAAAATTGCCCCTCTCACAGTTTGGGAGCGAGTGCTTCAGAAAGGTGTCAGTCACCCCATGAGGTCCTCAAAATTCTGTCTTGTCACAATGCATTGTCTGGTTGCCTTTGATCACCTTCACCTGAGTGGAAATAAGAATGTTTAGTAAAATTAATTCCCCTCAAGAAAATAGATCTTTTTTTTTTTTTCCCCCTTTGTGAAAAGTTCATAGGGACTGTCCACCCTTCCCTTGAGAGCAGGGACCTTTGTTGTGATCTGGTAAGCACAACCCACACGCTCAAAGGAGCAGTTTCAGAGATACTGTTGGTGTGCAGAACATCTGAGTTTTATTTCCAGATGCCCCTGATAATCCCTGTCCCGAGTAGCCACAGACAGAACTCACAGGAGTGAAAGGATTGCTTGAGATGTTAAGGGAACAAAAGGAGATTTCAGCTTGGTGAGTGAGTTCTCTGTGCAGGATTGTTTGACAGCAGTGGAGTGGGAGGGCAGAGCCCAGTCAGCTGGGTAGGGATTTTCCTCCTGAGCTGTTGGATGTGCCCAGTCCGTGCTGGAGTCACTGAGGGAACACACCCGTACCCGTAGCATCATTTCTGGGGACTCTCCCTGTCCACTGGAGTACTGGGGGTAGGGGTTGCAGAGCCTTACAACTGGGTTTCTTTTTTGCTGGCAGAGAAAGCACTGACCAGTCTTACCAGCTCTTGAGAGACTCCTTGGATCTGTACCTGGCCATGTATCCGGACAATGTGCAGCATCTAATGCTCCAGGCTAGGTTATACTTCCACCTGGGAATCTGGCCAGAAAAGGTACCTCTCCACGTGGTTGGGTGTTTTTTGGGTAGGCTAAGCACTGTTAACACTGGGCTATTGATTTTTGGGCTGCCTCAGCTTGTGTTACAGTCTGCCACAAGTTGTTGCTGTAATAAATGCAATGGAATGAGTTATCACGTTGCAGAGAATCAATCCCTACCATGCAGAGCAGGGAAGAGAGGATGATTCTTGCCTGCTTGTCCTAGGGGAGACTCATGAGCAGCCTCGAGTCATAATTCATGATTTACTGCCCAAGCCTCACAGCTTATCTTGGAAACAACACTTTTAGCTGTTAAGTTCTGAGATCATCCTGTTTGGTTTATGCCTGAATTGTGCTCAAACTCCTGCTGGACTCCTGTAAAAGGAGCAGTTACCTTATCAGGCAACTTGAGGAAGTTATCTTTTATAAATATGACCAGAGCTGTTCTCTGGAAACTTGGCCACACAATCTGTGGCTCTAGTGAAAAAGCAGCTTGATATTCCTGTCCTTGGAATTCTTTTTGATTATTATTACCTTTAGTGTAGCAGCTTGAGTCCTGCAATCTTGTGAGTGTGGGAAAGAAGGTACTGGGACTTAGGAGTTGTTTGGATCATCCAGTTTAGGAGAAGGCACAGGGAAGAAGCCTGTAACTCCAAAAAATATAATTTCTTTAGTGCTTCAGTGCAGCAAAGAGGTCAAAATTTCCTGTGCTGCTTCAGCAAAGCTCAACTTTTGGGCAGTGCCAGTCCCAAAGGTGAGGTGTGGGGAGGGGGCAGGAGTATTGGCTGGACATCTGAACAGAAAACAAAGCTTTTTCCACCAAATTATCTGAGACAGGGCTGCTGGAAGAGCTGCCTGCCTTCCCTTTGAAGAACAGACTGTGCTGAGCTTGGAGTTCCTTTCTTACAGCAGCAAGTTTTAGGGTGACCACGGGAAAAACAGCACAGAGAAATTGCGTGTGGGAAGGACTCACTGATACCAAATGGCAACTGTACATAAATAGAGGGGAGCTCAGTGAAAGGCTGGAAGATCTTCCTCCCCCTTCCTGGCACTCAGGGATGTGTTTGTGAAGCCCCAATCCTTGGATTTGCTGTCCTCAGGACACACAGTGTGATCCCATGGCTGAGTTTTCCATGCAGTTCTCTGCACCACGTTGCCAGATGCAAAGGAAATGTGCAAATTTGGACTTTCCAGGATTGCATCCAGTCCTTCCAGGCAGTTAACCAGAGAGAATGCTCTCTGTCTGACAGGGCAGAAGGTACCAGATTTTATAGGGGACTGCCAGATTTATGGGAAGTGGTAGAAAATCTTAAAAGTCATACAGAATGTTGTCCTAAATATTTTCAAGTGACAGTATATGAAATTCCCTAGAATGTCTGGCAGCTGTGGTTACTGTGCTAGGCCTTCCCCTTCCTGTAGGATTTTTCAGGATTTTCAGCTCCTTCTTAATTCTTCAGAGAATTAAAGTGGCCATGAAGCCTGAGCTGCGTTTCTTCTCATACCAAATTACTCACTTCTTCTTTTTTTTTTTTTGATTGATTTTCCTCACTTCTTGGCTGATGGAACCTGAGATTTCTATTGTTTTCCTGCTGCTGCTCTAAACTTAAGAGGGACCAAACCTTCCAGCACGTGATCAAGGAGACAAACCTTTTACCAGGTGCTAAAGTGTGTCAGATTTTGGGGCTGTGGCATCACTTGAGGTATTTGATGTTGGCACAGCTCTATGTGTCTTTTCCCAACACGTTTAAACAACAGGTTGGGGATTTTTTCCTTGCTTTTAACAAAAAAAGTAAAATTTGCATCGCCTGCCTCTGACAAAGTTGGCAGCAGATGCTCTGATGTTGTGCCAGAGGGTGTTGGAAGGCTGGAATTCTGGTTCTGCAGGGCTTGCTGCTTTAAGAGCACGTTTAAAGCTGGTGTTCTTTCCTCATCCTGAGGCAGGCAGGTTTTCTGCCTTGTTCGCTCTTCCAGGAGAAAGCATCACAGAGGTTATTTGCATTTCCTTCAGTGCTGCCCCGTTTTTCCCTGCCAGGCTCCCACAGACACGCTGAGGAACTCTTTTAAGTTAAAATATTAGTTCTCAAGCGCAGCAGGAGTCACGTGGAATCGCTTCACAGCAGCAGTTTGGGGGACTAACAGCAGTACCCTCGTAACATTTCAGAAACCGTGAAAAACCCTCTCGTCCGTGCCCTGTGTCACAAAATGCGGGGTGGTGAGCTGCTGTGACTCAGTTTTAAGGAGCTGCTGTGCTCACCAGTGCCCTTCCTTGGAAGCCAGGAGCTGTACAGACAGAAAAGGAGAGCACTGTGTGCAGTTTGTGCAGATTAAGCGTGGAACAAGCAGAGAGCTCAGTGTGGGACGTTCCCGTGGCGGATCTCTAGGCCTGGGCTCTTCCACACAGCTGAGCACAGCACTTAGACCTGTGTGTATTTATACAAGTGCTGCTGCAGAGGCTGGTTCTGAACGTCCCTTTGTTTTGGTTGCTGAAGGTCCTGGACATCCTGCAGCACATCCAGGCCCTGGACCCGTCGCAGCACGGGGCCGTGGGGTACCTGGTGCAGCACACCCTGGAGCACATCGAGCGGCGCAAGGAGGAGGTGGGGCCCGAGGTGAAGCAGCGCTCGGACGAGAAGCACAAGGAGGTCTGCTTCTCCATAGGGCTCATCATGAAACACAAGAGGTGAGCTCTGCACCCCCCCTGCAGCAGGAGGGTTGGCCGTGGCAGCAGCTGGAGCTGCGATGGGAAATGCCAGGCACGATGGGAAATGCCAGGCACGCGCGTCTGTGCCGTGGAGCGTGGAGGGAAATGGGAGCAGCCCCGTCTGTGCTCGCAGAGACTGAGTGTTGGCACTGCTGCTGGACTGCAGAGAGGTTTGGGAGGGGACTTGTCTGAGTCATCGGGTATCACACAGGTAAAATTTCCAGAGCTCTCCAAGAAACATCATCATCAGTTAACGAGGGACTGTGGAGCAGAATCAACTTCAGAAGAGATTCTTATATATTCTTATATATCCTGCGGAGGTCAATAAGCTGTCACGATCCCAGGGCAGGCAGAAAACTGGAATCCTTTGTTGGGTTCACAATTTCATATGTAAAGGGTTCAGGGTTTACATATTCAACGGCGGGTTCTTCATATTTGTGGTATTAAAATTGGGGGGTTTCACAAGGACGAGGTAAGGGAAAAAACCCAGGTTAACGTTTTTGGGGTCTTAGGAATTGCCTCATGGGAAAAACCCACTTGAACTTGGGCGGTGATTTTACAGGGGGGACAGGTAACAGGAAAGCAGAGATAAAACACAGTGGGTCTTCTGCATAGATTGATCAAATCAGGGTATGGTCTCTCTGGCTTGGGCAGGGCATGTGATAACATCATGCAAGGAGTCTCTTCCATTGTGCTGGAGGAGGCAGGAAGAATCCACAGTGATGAAGTTACTAAAAAGGGTTTTTCCCCAGCTTCTGTGACTCAGGGTTTTTCTGTTTAAACCTAGCAGTTTCTTTTCTCATATCTAAAATTTGGAATCCAACGATATTCTGAGAGCGTACGGATCTTTCCCTGTGCTGTCATTCCCTCCTCTCCCTGCACTGCACAGGGGCTTTGTGTTGCTGTCTGTGCTGCTCTGCCCCAGTGACATGCCAGCATGGCCACTCCTCTGACTCAACAAGACATGTGGAGCATATTTGAAGGGCATCAGCAGTGACAGTTATTATACCTCTCGATTAATCCCATAAATATCCCATCAATAATCACGCCTTTGTTTCTGGGAGCTCAGGGTTGGGAATTACCACGTCTGTGTGATGGCACAGAATTGCACAGTGCAGTAGGGTGGTTCATTCCCTCCCTATTTCTTGTTTCTTATTCTGCTTGCTGACTTCCAGTCTCTTTCCTGTCTTCTTTTCTTGCTCACATTTGGTTTTCCTTTGTCCTCAGCTGTTTATTCCTGTTTCTCCAGTCACTCCCAGTCATTTCCCTCCACCTCAAAATAACACGCACCATCTTCCTGAACTGGTTTTTTTTCTTCCCTCTCCTCCCCGTGCCAGCTCACAGGAGGTTCCTATCCCGTTTGTGCTATATTAGTCTGGAGGGGAAAGAGCTGGCTCCGGGGTTTTCACGGTGTTTGGTGTGCAATTCCTGTCGGCAGGTACGGCTATAACTGCGTCATCTACGGCTGGGATCCCGCCTGCATGATGGGACACGAGTGGATCCGGAATATGAACGTGCACAGCCTCCCCCACGGCCCCCACCAGCCCTTCTACAACGTCCTCGTGGAGGATGGCTCGTGCAGATACGCTGCCCAAGGTGAGCAGGAGCCTCCTTGTGCTGTGTTTGTGAGTGCATTGGGAGAAAGGGGTGCTTGAGTGAGTGACTCTTTCATGTGAAACATAAACTGTTAGCAAATGTTACCAGGTCCAGGACAGTGATTCTTCCCCTGGACTCAGCGCTGGGGAGGCCACCCCTGGAGTGCTGTGTCCAGTTCTGGGCCCTCAGCTCAGGAAGGACATGGAGGGGCTGGAGCAGGTCCAGAGGAGAGCAACAAGGCTGGGGAAGGGACTGGAGCACAAGTGCTGTGAGGAGAGGCTGAGGGAGCTGGGGGGGCTCAGCCTGGAGAAGAGGAGGCTCAAGGGAGACCTCCTGACTCTCTGCAACTCCCTGACAGGAGGGGGGAGCCAGGTGGGGGTTGGTCTCTTCTCCCAGGCAACCATCAGCAAGACAAGAGGGCTCGGTCTTCAGCTGTGCCAGGGGAGGTTTAGGTTGGATATTAGGAAGAATTTCTTTCCAGAGAGGGTGATCAGCCATTGGAATGGGCTGCCCAGGGAAGTGGTGGATTCTCCATCCCTGGAGATTTTTAAAAAGAGACTGGATGTGGCATCAGTGCCATGGGCTGGGAACCACGGCGGGGTTGGATCAAGGGTTGGACTTGCTAATCTCGGAGGTCCCTTCCAACCCAGCTGATTCTGTGATTCTAATCCTGAATCTTGTTTGCTCTCCATGAAATCAGCACTGCAAGGAATGGGCATTAAGGCCCACTCTGGTGTAATTTCCTCTTGCCCAAGAAGTGTCTTTAAGCGACCTTAAAACACTTGCTCATGACAAATGTGGTTGGGTTTATGGTGTGAACCCTATGGTTGCTGCTTTGAAAGAAGTAATTCAGCTTTTGCTGAAGGCTGAAGGTCTGCCAGCAGCTCTTTCTTGTGGAAATAACAGCTGTGCCTTGGACAGGACCTGGAAATAGGATCTAGTGAGGGAGCACACAGGCTTTGCTTGCAGGACCTGGTTCTGAGCAGCTGTCATCGAGACAGCACGTGCCAGGATCCCAGAGAACACAGGTAGCCTGGCTTTTAGTGCCACCTTAATAAGAACAAAAGTTAACGTCTCTTTACAACTGCAAAGAGGTGTGGAAATCTCTGTATCACATGTTCTTTATGCAACATAACCGTAAGAGGAAGTTTTGATGGTCAGAATTTGTGGTTAGGACACGGGAGGAGGCGTCAGGCTGAGGTTCAGAAGAAAATTAAAACAGAAAAAATGCATCTGTGATTCTGCATCTTGCCAAAAGAGTGTTTTGTTTGCCTCGTGTTTGTGTTCTCCCTGTGATAGGGAGGCAGGGCAGCTGCACAGACAGAGTGTGTTTTGCTAAGAGAAGATGTGGAAGCTGCTGGAAATGCTGGGATATAGTCAGCCCTTTCCTTAGGTGCTCCCTAGATGTTCTGTCCCCACAAGCAAGAGGTGCTTTTACAGGAAGGAACACCTGTACCTTGGTAGACTTAAAGTGCAAGTGTCTCCCACTGTCCTAGAGTTGCTTTATATTCAGTGGTCCAAAAAAAGGCAAAAAATGGGAGCATTGCAGCTCAGCCTGATGGTCCATATTAGGCAGGGCTTGGCCCCTCAGAGAGTCTTAAAAACCAGAAATTCTTGTGTGCTGTGGGTTGATATTAAAATATGCATCTTGGTGGAGACTAATCAGGTAATTGTCCACAGTGCTGCTGGGGCTGAGTCACTGCTTAGCTTTTGTCTCATGGTTTATAAACAGGCACAATTCTGGCTGGTCCCAGGGTGTGTTTCAGCCAAGCATCCAAGTGTTCTGATATTCCTTGGGAGAACTGTCGGGTTCGTCCCTGCTTGCTACCTGGCTGTTGATATCCCCTCTGCAATGTGTCCTGAGATCACCTGGGAAGGATGATTTCATAACCCCCTGACCTGACTGGGGAGGGAATGTGAGTTTTTTACTGAAAGACTCTTAAACAAATCTGCATGTGGAGTTCAGTCTGACCAGCTCAGGAGTAACACTGAGCTTGTAATAGGTAAATGTAGCTCAGTTTGAGGCCTTCCTGTCGACGTGATTCCAGAACACCTGTGTCATGCGGCGAGTTTGGTGCCTGTGTTTTGTATCCCTGGCTCAGAACTGCTTGTCAGCACATTTGGGAGGCTCCCACCTTGTGCTGAGCTCGCTTGTCTCAGCCTCTCCCCCCCTGCCAGCTCCTGCTTCTCCCTGTGCACAGCTCCCTGCTCAGCCCTGCTGCTGCAGAGCCCTCGGACTGGGAATTCTTTTCCGCAGTGGTGCAGTATCCAGAGAGGTCCTTTGCAAGCCTGTAGGACTGGACTGCACCACTGCTGAGGGATAGAAAGCCCTTGTGCTTCTGCAGCAGCTTCAAAGAGCCTGCATGGATTAATAGGAATTCTCTGGGCTCTCTGTAGTGAACGGAATTTCAGAGGCGGATTATTCCGGAATGACATTCTCTGCATCACGTCTTGTTCCTGCCCTGGCCAAAGTCAGGCTTTGAGGCTTGGCAGCTTTTTTTTTTTTATTATTATTTCTAGATAATAGTTCCTGTATTATCTGGCGCTGTGCTGGAAAAAAATGACATCATTTGGGGACTGCTGCAGGGCACCTGGGCTGTGTGGGATTTACTGCCAGTCCTCCTGCTCTGTGCTGACCCTGCAGAGCAGAGCAGCCCTGGGCTGGGGTCACCTCTGGGTTTTAGTGTTGGTTTAACTCTTGTGCCTAATCAGGTTATCTTGTAGTACAAAGGAGGAAATGGGCTGCTCTGGGAAAGAATCAACCTGCCTTTCTTAGGAACTTTGGTTTAACTTGGGGAAGTTTGGGTTTAGAGCAGTTGATTTTGCTGTGAGATGCCCAAAACCCAGGCTGGGCACTTGGCATGGTGGAAACACAGGCTGAGCAAGGAAGCACTTGGCTCCTCTGCCAGGACAACCTTGTGCAGGTGGGCTCAGCTTGGAGCATTTGAGGAGGGTCTCTCCCCAAACTGATCTCCCGTGGGCCATGAGGGATCAGAGCTCAGTGCAGCAGCTCCTCCCTGCACTTACCAGAGTGGGAGCAGCATCCTGCTGCTCCAGCCCAGTGTCAGGCAGTCTCAGGCATAAAACAGTTCTCATGCCACTGGTAAATGGGGTCACTTAGGAGGCGAGGCTCTGTGCCCCCTCAGACTGCCATATTCCACGCACGTTTTCCTGGGTTAGGGTTTTTTTTTAATTCAAAGCACTGAGATTTGGTGTTTCTAGAGCCAGAAACAGGCCCAGGGTTTCTTGCCTTGCACTAGCACCATTTCCTGGGGTGATAACTGATCCTTTCCTTTCCTGGCAGAGAACCTGGAATACAACTCCGAGCCTCGGGAGATCCCTCACCCCGACATCGGCCGCTATTTTTCCGAGTTCACCGGCCTTCACTACCTGGCAAATACCGAGCTGGAAATCCGGTACCCGGAGGATTTGGAGCTCACACGAGCCACGGTTCAGAAGATCTACAGCTCAGGCAAGGAGTGAGTGCAGAAGGCAGCGTGAGGACAGAAGCAGCTGGAGTGTAGCTTTACCCTCTTGGCAAAACTTGCGTGGAAAGCAAGTTCGGTGACAATCCTTTGGCTTGATAATGCATTGAAAGCTGCATTGAACTTTGAAACTGGTGCTACAGCATCTTCCCCTTGCCTGCCTGCCCCTTCTGGCCCGAGAGGCACAGGGACATGTTGGCAGTTGAGGCCAAGCAGAAGGATCTTGCAGGGACAGCCGTGCCAAGGAAGCGCGTGGTCCTTCGGAAGGATCTGCACAAACTGCTCGTCCTGTGCTTGTCTTGCCTTAGGAGGTCGACACAGTGAGATCCCTGGTGTGGAACGTGGAAGAACCCCCTCTTCCAGAGAAGGAAGTTGCTTGTCCTTGCAGAACTGTGGGGTTTTTGTTTGGTTGTGTCTGTTTGCTTTGGTTTTTAATGTATATCCCAGGCAGGTGATAGTTTTTAAAGTCTCTTGCGTTTCCCTGTCGTCCTCTCCGGTCTGAGTTTTTGGTCGGGTTTTGCTTCACCTCTATAGTCTGATTGTTCATAGAGCTTCTGTTCCAATCCTGAATATCCTTCTGGGCCTGGCAATATCCTTTTGGGCCTGGGAAAGAGCCCCAGCAACAAAACCAGCAGCAATGAGGCTTCTGGGGGTGGCAGGCACTGGGTCCAGTGGCCACCTTGCTGAGGACACGGACTCTCCTAAAGCAGAAGAGGAGCTTCTCGTCCTTTTCCACGCCTGCTGAACACACCCAACCCATGTTTCGTGATCTGTTCATCATGTGTGTCCAAGGCAGGACCTGTGGCACGGCCTGAGTGCTCCCAGGACACTTTGGAACCTCGTGGCACTTTCCTGGGAGCCTTGGGGCCGGTACCACAATGACTTCGATGTACAGGGAGCTGCCACTCGCTGCCACCTCCAATCTGTAGGTATTTATGCAATACATTGGAATTATGACTGGAAACTGGCCAGCCCTGGAGTCAGCCAACCTGTGTATGGAAACAAGATGTTGATTCCTGCAGCTTGAGGCCTTCTTCCTTTTTGCCAAAAGAAACTGGATTCTGGGGGAGCACAGACTTTGCTGCCTGCAAGGGAAGAGCTTTAGCAGCTCGAGGCACATGAATTTTAACATGACTTAAAGACCCAGACAGAACCACAGCAGAAAAGGTTTTCCTCTGGGTCCAGGGGTGCAGAGTGACAGTGTTTGTGCATATCTTTGTGGTTTCTGAAGCAATGTGTGTAGAGTAGCTGCAGCTCCTGTCACTGTCCAGTTGCAACACAGTAGTTCTCTCAGAGCTGAGAATTAGGTCCCTGTAGAATTAGGTGGATGCTCTTAGGCTCTTGTAGCACTTCAGGTGAAATCACAGAGCCCTGCCCTAAAGCAATGCTTGAACTGCATGTCATCCTCCTGCAGTCCTGGTCATCCTGCTGCAGTCCTGGTCATCCTTCTGCAGTCCTGGTCATCCTCCTGCAGTCCTGGTCATCCTGCAGTCCTGGTCATCCTTCTGCAGTCCTGGTCATCCTGCTGCAGTCCTGGTCATCCTGCAGTCCTGGTCATCCTCCTGCAGTCCTGGTCATCCTCCTGCAGTCCTGGTCATCCTGCAGTCCTGGTCATGCTCCCGCAGTCCTGGTCATCCTGCAGTCCTGGTCATCCTGCAGTCCTGGTCATCCTCCTGCAGTCTTGGTCATCCTGCAGTCCTGGTCATGCTCCTGCAGTCCTGGTTGTCCTCCTGCAATCCTGGTCATCCTGCTGTAGTCCTGGTCATCCTGCTGCAGTCCTGGTCATCCTCCTGCAATCCTGGTCATCCTGCTGCAGTCCTGGTCATCCTGCTGCAGTCCTGGTCATCCTCCTGCAATCCTGGTCATCCTGCAGTCCTGGTCATCCTCCTGCAGTCCTGGTCATGCTCCTGCAGTCCTGGTCATCCTGCAGTCCTGGTCATGCTCCTGCAGTCCTGGTCATCCTCCTGCAGTCCTGAGCACTGGTTGTGTGCAAGAAATAAACACTCAAAGCCCAGCACGTTGGCCCTGGAGTGGTGGTGATGGTCTGTAGGGACCCCAGGCCTTCAGGGACAGCAGCCTGGAATGTGCTGAGGAATGGAAAAGGTGCTCTGCTCCAAGGGGAACTGTGAAGGATTATAATCATAGAGTCCCAGAATAGTTTGGGTTGGAAGGGACCTTAAAGCTCATCCAGTTCCCAAGAGCAGGGACACCTTCCACTGGAGCAGGTCTGCACTGAAATGACCTTGCAGGGAAGGAGGAACTTCATTTTGAATCAGGGTAGGGAAACCTTGGACAAAAATCTTAAAACCCATCCCTTGTTCTCGAGGGTTGGAGCAGACCCCAGCCCTCCAGCCCTTTTTGGGGGTTGAAAGCAGATCCCAAAAGATTCCTAGCAGGGGTGCCAGGTTGGGAATGGGGCTGTGGAGTCCCAGGGTTGATGCTGGTAGCTGAGAACAGGCAGAGCAGGGTTTGGGCTCCCCGTTCCCAGTCCCAGCTCTGGATGTCACCGAGTTCCCTTGGACTCTGCCAAATGGGCAGTCTGGTGACATCTTGGCCTCTCTCAAGTGTATCAAGGGAATTTTACCAAGCTCACAGGAGCCCTCAGGTGCTGCCTGAGTGCCAGGCAGAGTCGTGCCATAAAAAAACCACAGGAGCCAACGGAAGCCACACAGAGTTCCCCTGAAAATTGGTGCTGGCCAGTGCTTCTGTAACCCACGTGAACACATGCTGTGTGCTTAAAGCCAGGGCTCCCAGAGCAGCCAGCAGAGCCCATTATATCCCTCTTTTGGGGCCACTCTGTGTTTATACCATGAGGAGAGTCTGTTCAAGGAGGAAGTGGGGGAGCTGCTGCTCACCACAGACTGCACCCTTCCCGTTTCCAAGGGGAGTGTTGTGTGCTGTGAGGGACTGGGTGCACAGCAGCCCTGTAGCTAAATCCTGGGCCCTTTGGCAGGTGTTTGGTGGAGGAACTGTGTCCTCAGACAGCTCTGCTTTGCTGTGCTGCCCACGCCTGGCTGTGGGTGTTGGTGTCACCCGGGAGCACCGACACAGCCTTGGATGTGCCAAAGCTGGAAGAAACCGGAGGTGTTTTCAATAGGCCCCACACAACACCAGCCCAGGGTCCAAGTCTGCTTTTGGGACTTCAGGCAAACACAAAGTGTGTTTGTTCCCGTTTGGTTGGGGTGGCCCCTCTGCCTCCTGTGCTGTTTGCTCTGGGTTGAGTTTTGCTCTTGGTGAGGAGGAATTCCCTGCTGAAGTATCTGCAGCTGTAGGAGCTTCAGCCCAAGCATCCAGGGTGCCAGGGAAAGCTGGAAACCCCCTAAGGATCCCTCTCTGTCCCTGCTTGAGCAGCCCCTTGGAATGCACATCAGTTCCTGCAGGCTGCACATCCGAGGTCCCGCACGGCAGGAAACGCCTCTGTGGGATAGCAGGGTGACATTTGCTGTTTCCCTGTGCCCCCTCCCCTCCTGGCAGCACAGGAGGGGGTTTCCACAGTCACCTTTTCCCCAAGAAGACAGCAGTGGATCCCAAAATTTCCTTGTGTCCATGAGTAACATCCAGGTCCACGTCAGTGTCCATGTTACAGATGGTGCAGATGCACACAGTGTGCAGTTTGTCCTGTCTCTGTGGGGCTCTCCAGGAGAAGGGATGTTTTCTGGAGAAGGTGGAATTGCCTCCCTCCTCTCCCACCATCCAACCAAGTGGAAAGCCTGGCCCGGTTCCTCAGTGCAGTGCCAAAGTCCTCTGGTCCTGCATCCCCTGGGAGCAGAGGGGTGAATTTCCTGCAGCCCAAACCATCTTCTCCCTTCTCTTTCCATGTCATTGGCCATCTGTTCTGGGGACAGAACAGCCCAGGTTAAAATCTGGAGGGTGAAGGAAAAGCAGAGTGGGGGAAGAGGAGGGTGGGAGGAGGGTGGAGGGAAGGAGGAGTCACTGTCTGGATCCTTAGGAAAAGGACAGGGAGCTGAGCAGCAGCCGTGGGCTGGTTCCCAGCAGTGCCACTGGATCCAGGGACTCAGGGCTGTTACAGGGAGCACCATTCCTGGGTTTCCTCTAGCAGGGAGTGAGGCCTGTGGGCAACAGTATCTGTGGGAGGTTTGTCCATTCTTACAGGCCAGTGTCTTGTGAGAGAGGCTGCAGAGCTGCTCCCAGCCCTCCACCAGCGGAGTGCGTTCCCTGGGACAGCTGGTGGTGCCACATCCTCTTGGGAAGCCCTTCCAACCCTCCCACACCCATCCTGACACGCAGGACCAGCAGGAACATTCTCAGAGTGCCCTGACACAGCCAAGGGCTGGGAGCGTGGCCTCTGTGACAAACCATGACCTTTGTCACCAGCCTTGGCAGGAAAACCAGACGGCAGGACCCTCCAGCCCTGCCTGGGGCCAGCAGAGTGCTGTGTCCTCTGGGACAGGGTGTGAGGAAAGGCTGGAGAAGGGCTCCTGGGGTGTCCTGGTCCCTTCCAGGCCACCTTCACCTGCACACCAGGTTGCTCAGGGTGTTGTCCTGACTAGTTCTGAGCATCTCCCAGGGCCATCCCAGCTCCATGGGCCCTGCCAGCCTCCCTGCTGGCTCCTCCTCCACAGAGGGCACAGGGACTGTGCAGGCAGGGAGAGAATGGTGCTGTGTTACCCTCCCTTCTCTGGGCTGGAGGGGCCTGAACCAAACAAAAAGCCACATTTAATGGAAAACTGCCCAGAGGGTGCAGAGTCCCAGGGCCCCCGACACAGCTGAGGTTGCAAGATGGGGACATCTCTCCTTTCTCCTTTTTTATTTATAAACAGGTATTTTCCTGGATCTGGGACAGCTGGAGGCTGGAAATTATTTGATCCCTTTCCTGTTTATATTTGGCTTTAAAAAAATAAACGACACTGACTTGCTACCCCCTCCCACGGTGTGCTGTGCTTTCTGAGCTGCCTCCCAAACCCCCTGTGTGCTCTTCCCTGTGCCCGTGGGAGGCTGACGTGGCCCTGCCAGTGCCAGAGCCGGGTCTGGCACCGCGGGAGATGGTGACAGAATCACCCACCTCTGCACCAAACCTGCCTCCTGCTGCCACACCCTGGCACCACAGCCAGGCTCTCCCAGGGCTGGGATTCCCTTTTGCGGGGTCCTGTGTCCTGTGTCACCCCTCTGTCTGTGCCCCCTTGCCCTGTCCCCATCCCGGGGGTCGGTGCAGCCCTGGGCAGTGCCGGGGGGGGGGGAAGGGCTCAGGTGGGAGCCGGGGGTTCTCCTCGAGGGGGGGAGATCCCGGCCCACATTCCTGCAGCCAGGCTGGGCAGGGAGTGGGGACCCGGGGGTAACTCCACACCCTTCTCCTGGGGGATGGTCCCCGTGCAGCGCCCAGAGCCACGAGTGGGCACAGCCGGGGCTTCGGGTGCCACCAGCTCGTGACGGGAATTCCCCCCCTGCCAGGGGGTCCCGCCCAGGCCGGGCCCTTCTCACGGCCCCTCACTCTGGAGCCTGAGGGCTGCAGGAATGCTGACCCTGG